AAGGGGGACCCTATATGCTGCGGATCGGATCAAGTAAGCTGCTTACCCTAAAGTCTCCTAATAGCACTCCTACTCTACTGGGTGAATACCACCAAACCCAGCCTCAAAAGCTCCACAAAATGTACAGAAATATAGTATGAGTGAAAAAATATGGTACTCAATATGTATCAACTCTAGAATCGAAGAAGCAGCGGCGAGAGGTCAATACTGATACTCACTAACAGCTCAATAAACATATGAAGTATCAACATGGCCAAAGGTAAAAGCCACTACATGAGTCAAAGCTACATATGCATGCTCACAAGACAATACCAATTCTCACCGTTCAATTCCATATATCTGATATGGACCGAGTGTCTAAACTATTTTTAATTAGCGTATATATACTCACATGACCCAAAGTAATATGGGTAATCGCCTGGCTCTTGAGGGACGGTACCATATTTAAGCGTCACTGCAGTGTGCAAACTGATCTACTAGTAATAATAATATCGTTGCAGTGTATAACCTGATCAACTCATACTATCGTTGTGATGTGCAACCCGATCCACACATACTACCATTGCAGCGTGCAATCTGATTCACACAACATCATAAATAACTAATATCCACTCATAATATTTGTGGTGCCAAAATTCTTATCTTTTCATAATATTCAACTCTCCATCTTATAAATATATGTATTAGTCAATATAATTAAAGGCACCAGATCATAACAATAGAAAATACGGATAAAAGCCCATATGGCTAAAGATGGCTATGGCTAATCATGTAGTTCTATTCATCTCAAAAATCAATAATGAATTTCATATTTAGCAGTCTTTTCATAACATTTAAAATTAAAAGATAAAGTCATGTAACCACCAAATATATGATTACGGCATAATAAAGAAACTCAATATGGTAAAATCATAGTTTATACCAAATTTTAATAAGTCATAACCTTAAAATGCTTCTAAGCCACAATTACAAATCATCACATAGTCATAGAATCAATAAAACATTAATAATAAGTTCACATATACCAAAGAATGCAAAATCATAAGCCATACTTTACCGGATAAGGTCCTACCCTAGCTATTCATATACACATTCAACCTTGCATATACGTGGTTCCTAAATCGAGCAACAAGTAGTAAATAGATTACATATGGAAAGAATTCCCTCTAATAAGGATAGCCACAAGACTTACCTCCACCCGGTAGTCTTTAAGCTTCAAAAATAGATTTCCCTCTTAAAGAAACCTCCAAATGACTCGAATCTAATCAAATACAACCCAATAACGTAAAACAATGTCATAGGAATCAATTTCAAACAATAAATCTTCAATCTATAATTCAATCCCCAAAAGTCAACAAAAGTCAACTCGAGCTCACATGGTCAAAACACGAGTTAAGGGGTAGATCCCGACTATATATAACCCCACAAGGTCAAATATATGTTTGATTCCAAAACCAAGTCCAAATCAACCCTCAAATCCCTAAATTATACTCTTAAGTTGCAGACAAAACCACAAAATTTCACTTTGAAATCTAAGTTTTACGTGAGGAATTTTATGAGGAATCAAGATATAACACCAAATCCAAGTGAAATTCCTTCGCTTCAATGTAGTAGTGCAATTTCTCTTTTAAATCTCCGTCTATCGAAGTCTATGTTTCAAAATATGAAAGAATGGGTGAAATCTTTAAATTCCAACTTAAAATAGTCTGCCCAGCGATATACATCGCGATCGCAACATACCCTTCGCGATCGTGAAGGCAAAACTCACCTCTGGCTTCTGCTCCACTTCGCGAACGTGAAGACAAACTCCTCAATGCGAAGACAAATTCGTAAATGAGACTAAATCAGCTAAGTACGAGAATGCGAGCCTTTCTACGTGAACCCAAAGCAAAATCTACCACTTGATACCAAACCACCAAAAACAAGACCCCATGTACGCGAACATGATGGTCCGCCCCCAGATCTATGCAAATATGACACCATTCCCGCGAACGCGAAGAGAAAAAGCTCGCCTCTTAGCTCTCTACTTCGCAATTACAAGACAAACTTCGCTATTGCAAAGCATCAACCTGCACTAGAAATCCAGCAACTCCAAAACTAAAGGAAATAGTCTGAAGCCACCCTGAATCACACTCGGTCCCCCATTACCACGTCCAATAATACCAACAAGTCCATATACCTATTCCAAACTTAAACAAGGGCTTGAAACACTAAAAATAACTTCAAAACCAAGAATCAAACATTAAAATCCATCTCTTAAGTTCCAAACATTCCAACCTCTCCAAACACGTCTAAGTCATGCCTAGACATTAAGAATTACAATCACACTTTTCACACAAGTTCAAATCAACCAAATGAACCTATCCAAAATCTTGAAACACTAATCGGAACACGATAACATCAAAGTCGACTCCCGGTTAAATGTATGTACTTTTCAAACTTTCAAGTGTAAAGACCCGGTTGTTCTCAAATTTGATGCTTCTCGTATATATTTTTGTTGTTTTATGACTTGCAGGGATGGTTGATTTTGTTTGGAGAAAATTTCTGAGGGATTTGAGACACTTAAGTCTCATTTTCAAAGCTTATGTTATAAGGGTTGATCAGGATTTACATTTGTGTAAACAACGTCAGATTCATTATTTAAGGGTTACGATAGGTTTGTATGGTGATTTAACTTGGGCGTCGGCTCAGATTTGGATTCAGAGGTTCCTATGATGTTTGTCTCTATTTGCGAAAGTTGGCAATTTGAAGGTTTAAAGAGTTTCTAAATTTGTCTAGGAGTTGACTTTGATAATATCAGATTTGAATTGTTGTTTCGAAAGTTTGAATAGGTTACTTTGGTCATTTAAGACTTGTTTGCAAAGTTTGGATATAATCCAGATTGGTTAGGCTTTAATCATACACTTGGTCGGAAGTATGGAAGTTACTGAACTTAAGAGAAACTCAACTTGTGTTTTGATCATTAATTCTTGGTGTTAATTTGAGTTCCCGTATGAATTACTAAAACATTTGGCTCTTTGTTGCATTCCTTAAAAGTGAAGTAAATAAGAAGTAAAGTAAACACAAATATTTTTATGTAGAAAATCACCCGGCTCAAAAAGTACAAAAACCACGACCTACTACGTAGGATATTCAACTTCAACTCCACTAGAACAATGAGCCAAAAATATATCAATTACAAGACTGTAATTCAATATTCTCCAGTACTCCTACTACGACTATTTGATTTACAAGTTACTCTAACTTGTAAAGCAAAACACTCACTCCAACTCACTAATTATTTATGACACTTGATTACAACTCAACTTCCTAAAACACATTCACTAGACTGACTCAGGAAGAATACAATGCAAGTACACGACTGGAGTACACGACTTATGACTGTTTTGCTGATGTGTATAATGATAGTTTCAGAAGTCCAAAGTAGATTATGTTTAAATGCTTCAACTTGAGATCTTCTAGGAGTCATGTTCATAGTTAGATTCCTCTTTGATGAGACTCCTTCTATTCCAAGGATTCGACAAGCTTTGGGACTTTTGTCTCTGACTGAATTATCCGTATTTTCTTGAGAAACAACCTTTATCACCTATAAGTAGCCTTCTTCCACCAAACTTGGACCTGTGTAACTTTGAGATAGAGTTACTATCTTGTACAGACATACAAGTATCAACATGAGGAGCTGGTTCATTATCCTGAACAAGAGGAGACATTAAGACACTATCTTGCACAGTAGAACTAGGTAATCACATCAAAGAACCAGATAATCACAACAAGTGACATGTACTATTGACAGACATATATGTTCACAACCTTCCAACCTTATCTTCCCTCTTTTGGCATCATCGAAAACACACCAAAAAAATGTTAGACATTAAGCACAGATAATGTAAGATTCAAGGCCAAACAGACTATAACACAAGCTTAAGAAATATCAAGGTAAAGAGACTAGGTTGAAGATCCAATATTGTACAAAGTAGTAAAACAGAACAAGAGGAGACATTTTGTAGTGCCAAAAGAATCCCAGGGCCTCGTCTTAACCATTAGAACAAAATAAACTAAGCATACTGCAACTACTCAGACTAAGACAAAAAAAAGATAAGGCATCATTGGAATAGCAAAATAAACTAAGGACACTGGGAAGGAACATGTTCATAGGTGAGAAGTAGAGGGGGTCAAAGCTTTCACAGGGGTGGAAATCTGTTGGGCATGAGCCTTCCTATCTCTTCTGAGCTCTTCCCTAAGTTGCCTTGTTTCCTTTCTCAACTCATCATTGTCTTCACGAAGCTTGTCATTCTCTTCAACATCCAACTCCAACCTCTTACTGAGCTCTGCAGCCCTATTGTTCCCAAGTAGAATAGTAGATCATGTGGGTCCTCTAACCTTCATCTCCTCATACCCACATTGCTTAAGGGTAACAGTATCCAAAACATCATTGTGGTTTCCAAAACTTAAGCTCAAGTAAGGCAATATTGAGCTTGTCAACCAACTCAGTCAACATGAAACCATAAGGCATAGCATGCTTAGGTTTGGAGGCGTCTACAGCTCTTGCCCTATGCTAAATCATCAAGCTAGGAAGATTGATAGGTTTCCAGTGTCAAGCAGTTCTATCACAGCCATGTCCAGTATAGTGGCTTTATGCCTTCTCTCGGACCTCGGAAGAATGCAAGAATTGACAAAGTGAATAATAACTTGTGGAAGGGTGTCATATTAGTCTTGTACACTTTCTAGGTTGTATCTAGTTCAAACTTTTGAGAAAACTTCCTTCTGACCACAATGCCAATGTCAATATCATTTTCTATGGCTGGCCACTTTTTCTTCAAGTAATTGTCAAATCCCAAAGAAGAGATATATAGAAGCATCCCCATCTCCTCAATATCAAACTCCATTTCAAATCTCCCTACCTTACTCTTGACTACCTTCCCATCAAAGTTGAAATTTGCATATAACTCCACCACAGCAGGAACACATACTGGGGGGAAAGCTTTGACAAACATGTGCTTCTACCTCTGTAGCTCATGTTTTTCAACCAGTTGAGCCATCCCCTTCTCATCAGTGTTCGCAAGAATCTTTCCATTTAGAACCTTTCCGTTCCTGAAATCTATGAGTCGATCAACTACAACTGGCACATTCTTTCTTGTCTTACCCCTACTGGCCCTTGCAGAAGAGGTAGCAGTTTTGGTAACTTTGGCAACCTTTCTCTTTGGTGTAGAGGACTTAGCTGGAAAGGCAGAGTAAGACTCATCTTCTCCGTCCATCTCAACAACAGGTTCCACAATTGAGACCTTCTTCCTTGGCTTCCTTGCACTTCTAAACTCCTTAATGACTTGTTCATCAACAACCTTTCTTTTACTCCTTGTAACAGGAGTCCTAGTAGGAGGAGCCACTCCTTTCCTTGTTGGGACTGTTGACTGTGTAGCTTTCATAGGAGTCTTCCTGGGTTTCTTCCCTACCTCAGATAGTGGCACATCATCTTCATCACTGCTAACTTATTCATCTTTAGTGAAAAGAGTTAACTGAGACCCAGGTTCTTGAGCCCTTGTCTCTTCACCAGCTTCTTCTGAAGAGGCTATGACAGTGTTCCCAATGGTCATAAAGCCTTCAAACTCCTCACTCACATTCTCATCTTCTTCCTTACTCTCTTCATCACCTCATTCACTCTCACTTACCTTTTCTTGATTCTTACCCTCACATTCAGATTCATCCTCTTCTTCACTATGATTTTCTTCTTTTGTAGAATCATTAACCCATTCACCTACCTTATCATCTGTATCACTTTCCTTCTTATCTCCAGATGATCCCCCATTCTCACTCTTTTCTTCTTCATTGGCTATGTTTTGAGCATCATGCTCCTCATGACTGTTCACAACTTCTTCTTTGTTTTTCACTAGAAGTCTTGATCCTTTGGAGATTCCACTAGTGGATGGTGATCTCATCCAAGTCACACCGCTATTCGGGGTTATGAAACGGTCGATTACAATAATACCCAATAAGGAGTCGGGATCAAATCCACAGGGAGCTGAGATGGGATTAGTGGTATATATTTGGATAAAGCACGTGAAGTATCTTGGTTGCACTTCCACAAATATGGTTTTGTTTTTACTTCTAAAATTACGTAAAGGATTACAATTCTAAAGATATAAAACTAGAGAATATTATTTTTGGATGGTTTCCAAATATATAAAAAGTCATAGGGGTATGACCTTAACCTAGGTGTTTGCCTAACGGGTTGTAAACTTTAAAGCTTGTTTTGTTGGTCGGGATATATTATAGCAATCAACACTCAAATACCCACTCAATGCCTCTCGGTAAGAGAGTGATTTTGCCAAATTTGACTTTCTCAAGTCCAAATGGGTATTGAACAAAACAGTTGATAAAATGCTCAAGTCGGGTGTTACTATCTCTAGGTTCAACCCTTTAATTGGGACTATCAATCTCTTGATTTTATCCCAAATTCTTATTAGCCAAGTTTTCCTAGACTAAGCCTGTCTTTCTCAATAAGAGACCAAGTCAATTAGTCATGAGATAATGTTTGCAACTATTAAATCTTCAAATAAAAGCAAGAACAAGGCTAGATAATCAACACTCAACCATAAACAAGCAATAAATCAAACACCCATTAGGTTTACACACTAGGGTTGGGTCACAACCCTAGTTAGAAATCTAGCTACTCATAATGGGTATAGAAGAAAATAAAGAATAAAAGATGATAAAACTCATATTGCAAGATTAAAAGATAAAAATCCAATGTTAAATCACCAAAGTAAGCTAAAGTTACCTAAAGAGGCAAGTAGAAATGGCTACAGGACTTTCAATATTCCAAACTTGACCTAATTTCGTGAAAGTAGTCTATTTATACAAAGCTGGAATTTTCGTACAAAATTGCCCTTTCGGAGGTTCTGCGGCCGCACAATTATATGTGCGGTCCGCACTTCTCTTCAGATCTTGACAGGAGTTGACTCTATGGCCGCACAATTATGGATTGCGGCCGCATCTCTCATTTTCTACGGTCCGCACAATTCTAGGTGCGGCCGCACTAGGCTCTTCTGCGGATCGCACATTTCCCGAGTGCGGCCGCATAACTATTTTTGCAGCCGCACAATTATTGTGCGGTCCGCATTTCTTCTTGAGCTTGAAATGAAACTCTCTGAACTTTGGCTCTTACGTAGCTTCTGTGACCGCACAATAATTGTGCGGTCCGCACTTTGCACTGGGGCTCTGTTGATTTTCCTTCACATTCTGCTGCCGCAGATAGAAATGTGCGGTCCGCACTTGAGCTTTTGTGCCTGATTTTTGTCCTTGTTTAGATCACTCCTCCTTGAGTTGGATTTTATCGTAGTGGCTCATTTTCCAATACTTCTGCAGGTAAGCATATTTCATCAGTTTTTGGGAATACAATTAGACACTTTTGGACTAAAACGAAAGCTAAAAGGTGCTAATAAGTAGTCAAAATTCTTACTTTTCAACTCCTTCAAACTTAAGCTTTTGCTTGTCCTCAAGCAAATAAGGCAATTCCCACCTTTACAAGATAAGAACTATTCCAGCTAATCTAAGGTGAATCAAACACACATCAATTAGAACCAACAATTACCCACAACACTTATGAATTATCAATAAGGCAATGATTTGAAGTTTTAAGCACAAATAGTTCTAATGTGACACTAGAGCATCAAGAGTTGACTTTACTCATCAAGGATGTTTGCTCTTTCATGTAGGTCATTGTGGATCCCAAACTCCTCCTCTTCTACTCTCCGTTAGCCTATCTCACTTAAGAATGTAGCACTCACTTCAAGGATTTGTGAAAAGTTCGCTCATCTCTCTCAAAAGAATGTCACAAGTACGACTCTAAGTACCATATGCTTGCCCCTCATGTAAATCACCACTAATGTAAGTTCACTCGGCTTGAAATCACGTAGGGCTTTTTTGGAATGTAATGAAGGCTTTTGGACTAAGGTAGGAAATGTTGGAATAGAACGGGTTCATCTTTCCTTAAGCACTCCATTTTTTCTTTTTGGCTCATGCTTTGCTGACTCTTTAAGTCATTTTCTTTCCTTAGGGGAACTAGAGAGACTTAACATCACTCTTTCTTGGTCATGATATTCGTTTTCTCCTTCTTTATTTTCTCCATGCTTTGCATTTTTGCTTTTCTTTGAATCCCTTTAACTCTTCAACTTATTCACTTTCTTTTTGCAATTGTTTTTCTTTTGTTCTTTCTTTCTTTTTCTTTGCCTTTCCTTTTATTCATTTCTTTTCTCTTTTTGTACCTTGATACCACTTTCAAATTTCTAGTCTCTCCCCCAAACTTATGTTTTAGCTAATTTTTTCTCAAGAGTGTTAAGGAAAGCTCGGGTGCCACGAGAGGATCACTACAAAACGGGTAAAGGCTTGTAACATGGTTATCAAATGAGAAAGGTTTTAGGCTCAAAAGGGTTGACTAGGGATAACAACATTGGTGGGTCATGTAAAATTTCAAAACGGGTCAAGGAGAGCCTACAATCACTTCTCAAGCCAAGCAAAACTTAGAATTTTGCCCAGGAGCACATTCGGGGCAAGTTCTAGACCATTCGCACGGGTACTTAGACTTGCAACAAAACATCTCACCTCTCACACAGCTGGATTGTTCAAGAGGATAGAGTCGAGGGCCCACAACAACCATGATTTTTCCCTAGGATGCCAAATTTCTTTGAACTAGGCATTTTTATGAAGATTTTTAACAAATTTTAATTTTTTCTTTTAGACTTTTCCCGACGATGAACGTCCTAGATAGATTTCTTGAGGATATAAGTCTAATGAAAAACACAAAAAGTTTTTCTCTTTATTTTTAGAACTGACAAGTAGAATGGAAGAACTTGAATATCTATGTTATTTGACTTGTTTTATGTCGGGGTTTAGGGCTAAGCATGTGAGCTGATAACTATATCATCATCCTCATCCTTATCCCATCTAAATGAAAGGCCAGCAGAAGCCTTCTTTGGTACAGGTTCTTTACTTCCTTCCCCCTCAACCACAGGCTCTACAGCAGTAGTATCTACCGCCTTCCCCATATCGCTTACACCCTTTTCTACAGTGAATTTCTCCACTTGTGGCTTCTCACCTGTGGGTGGGAGAGTATCTAGGAGTGCAGCATCAATAGTAGACACCAAAACATCTAATTTTGAAGGATGATGTTGTACCTGATCAGTAATGACTGTACTGATTCCTCCTGAACCACAGATTCCTTGGCTACTGTGTCTACCTGCGTAGCAGCATCAGGCACTTTCTTGAAAGATTTTCTTGAAGTGGCATTGACCTTTGTTGACTTAGAGGTATTTTTCACAATAAGCTCGGGTGCATGAGTGGTTGGTTTTTGAAGTGGGGGTATTGTGGAGGTGGGGATGGTAAAAGCAGCAGGAACAGGGAATGATGATGTAGGTACAGTGGAGGATATCGAAGGCGAACGAGCAGGTGTGGGTATGGGTTCCCTTGATGGCCTAACTCTTTTCTTTGATTTGGGCTTCATGATTTTGTGTTTTGCTTCAGCCTTGGTTGATGATTTGGCTTTAGAGGGGGTTTGACTGGCTTTAGGCATGGTTATCAAATAAGAGACTTGAAGAAGAGAAAGGGAGAATTAATTCTTGATATATTTTCTTGATTCTTGCTTAGGGTTTAAGAGAAACACTGAGGTCTAAGAAGCTTATCATAAGATCCTTTTAAAGACGTTACTCCTGATTTGACTGGAAGAGAGAAGGTGACCGAATTTGAGTTCCAACGGGACTTTTATAACGGTTACTTTTAATGTTCGGATTTTAGGAGTAATTGAACTCTAATTGCACTATGATTTCCCCTTACTCTTTGACTAGAATACGACTAGAAGTGATGATAACCGAATTAAAAGTCTGAGAATAGCAATAATTTTAGGATATTAAGTCCTAGTGACCTAAGACAGAATGACACGTACCTGAGTCAAAGAACTAACTCCTTAGCAACTCCTTATCTGTTTTTGCAATAAAGCTTCAGCACTTCATATTAGTGTCATACAACACAGTTATCAGCCAGATTTTCCAAGCAAGTGTGTGAGCTTAATGCAAGCACGAAGCTGAATCAAACACATTGTACGTAATTATCTACATATAATTATGCCTTTTCAAGCCAATCATTGGGATTCAACTTAGTGGGAAGACTTGATTAGACCTAGTTATAGTCTATAACTTTCAAAGTGATCCCTACTCAGAGCTTTAGTAAAAATATCAGCAATTTGGTCTTCGGTTTTACAAAAGTTAATTGAGATATTCCCCTTTTCAACATGTACTCTGAGAAAGTGATCTCTAATGTCAATGTACTTGGTACTTTTGTGCTGACATGGATTTTTAGCAATGTTTACGGCACTTGTGTTATCATAGAAAATGGGAACGCAATCAACAAATATACCATAGTCCCTTAGTTGTTGTCTTATCCTTAGCAACTGAGCACAGCAGGATGCTGCTGCCACATATTCAGCCTCAGTTGTAGACAAGGCCACTGAGTTTTGCTTCTTGGTTCCCCAAGACACCAGACAAGAACCTAGAAAATGAGCTATTCCTGAAGTGCTTTTCCTCTCAACATGAAAACATGCATAGTTAGCATCAGCATGACCAACTAGATCAAAGCTATACCCTCTGGGATACCATAGACAGAGGTGAGGGGTCCCCTTGAGATATCGTAGTATCCTTTTGATAGCTTTCAGGTGATATTCCTTGGGATTTTCTTGAAATCTTGCACATTATCCCACACTAAACGATATATCAGGCCTTCTTGATGTAAGGTACAACAGTGACCCAATCATTCCTCTATATAGTTTCCGTTCCACACTTTTCCCTTCTTCATCAAGGTCCAGCTTTGTTACAGTTGCAATAGGAGTGTCAATAGACTTAGAGGAGTCCATATTGAACATCTTTAGTAGTTCTTTGATATATTTTGCTTATGTATCATGGTTCTAGTAGGTGTTTGCTTGATTTGCGGCCCCAGAAAGAAGTTCAATTCACCCATCATGCTCATTTCAATCTCATTTCCCATTATCTCAGCAAATTCTTTGCACATTGCTTCATTGGTAGCCCCAAAGATAATGTCATCCACATACACTAGCACAATTAGAATATTCTTGCCTCTGCTCCTTAGAAATAGAGTGTTGTCTACCTTTCCTCATACAATGTTGTTGGCTAAGAGGAACTTTGAGATTCTTTCATACCAAGCTCTTGGAGCATGTTTTAGTCAATAAAGAGCTTTATCCAGTTTGAACACATAGTCAGGAAATTATTCACTTTCAAATCCAGGATGTTGTTTGACTAGCACTTCCTCCTTCAGATAACCATTCAAAAGGGCACTCTTTACATCCATTTGATATAAGATGAACTCCATGTGAGCAGCAAAGGCTATCAACATTCTTATAGCCTTCATTCTAGCTAAAGGTGCAAACGTCTCATCATAGTTAATGCCCTCCTCTTGATTCTATCCCTGAACCACTAGTCTGGCCTTGTTCCTTGTGATGTTTCCTTGTTCATCTAGCTTGTTTCTGAACACCCATATGGTATCTATGACAGTTCTGTTCTTGGGTTTCTATACCAATTATCAGACCTTGCTTCTCTCAAACTAGTTTAGCTCCTCTTGAATGGCTATAATCCATTCTGGATCCTTTAGAGCTTCTTTGATGGTCTTAGGTTCAACCTGTGAGTGAAATGTTGTGAGTGCATAGAGATTTCTTAGAGATAACCTGGTTTTCACCCTTGCATTTGGATCAGAGATGATATTCTCAAGAGGATGTGAACTTTAATGCTTCCATGGTCTGATCTGTATACCTAGAGAAGATTCGCTCGAGGAGTGACCCAAAGTAATAGGTTCAGTGGGTGTGGCTTCATTAGTCTGGTCAGCAGTTAGAGTAATTCTTTCTTCTTCTTGTTCCTCATTAAGGTCTTCGAATCCATCTTCATACTTATGTTCAGATTCCTTTGTAACTCCATCACCAGTGAGTCCTATATCATAATCTTTATCCGGCAGACCTTTCTTAGCCAAATTGTTAGATTCATCAAAGATAACATGAATATTTGCTTCTACACACAGAGTTCTTTTATTAAAAACTTTATAGGCCTTACTGTGTGGAGAGTAACATAAGAAAATTCCCTCATCACTTCAGTCATCAAACATACCTAGAGCTACTTTTCCATTGTTATGCCCAAAAATTTTGAACCTAAAGAATCTCAGGTGAGTGATGTTGGGTTTTCTTCATCGAAGTAACTCATAGGGATTTTTCTCAAGAATGGGTCTGACCATGCATCTATTTAGCATGTAACAGAGAAACTCTTAGGTAGTCCACTAGCAATCAACATGGTCATCCCCATGTCTTCTAAGGATATATTTTTTCTTTCTACAACTCTATTTTGTTGTGGAGTTCTAGGTGCAGAGAAGTTATGGTCAATACCATCTGAGCTACAAAACTCAATGAATTTTGAATTTTCAAACTCAGTACCATGGTCAATTCTTATACTCAATACATTGTACCTCAGTTTTTGTTGAATCATTCTAGCAAATACATAGAAAATATCAAAGGTTTCATCTTTAGATCCTAAAAGCAATGTCTAGGTATACCTGGAGAAGTCATCAACAATCACAAATACATACCTCTTACCTCATCTGCTCCTTATTCTCATTGGTCCACATAGGTCCATGTGAAGGAGTTCCAGAGGTTTAGAAGTACCGATAGCCTTTTTAGATTTAAAGGATGTCCTTACATGTTTTCCTCTAACACAAACATGAAACACCTTGTCAGAGTGAACTCAACATTAGGTAGCCCAAGGACCAAGTCATTTGCTGCCAACTTGTTGAGTTAAGAGAGACTGGCATGTCCTAGTCTTCTATGCCATTACAGTGGATCATATTCCACTACACTCAAGCATGTGTGCTCACTCTAGTGAAGTGATATAATCGATATCCTGTCGACATTGTTATGTCTCTTACCCTTTAGCATAATTTTATCAATATCAAGCATAGTGACTGTCACGCCCTGAACCTGGGGGCAAGACCGGCACCCGGTGCCTCACTTAACATAGCACACCAACTTGCGACTGAGGAACTCTGAACATACAATGTCATACATTGTCCATGGGGCCACATTGCAAGATAATTTGCGAAGCAAAATATAAAATAGAACAGAAACTAGCTTTGACTAAAGATCAATATAAAGATGGGCTGACAAGGACGTCATAACTACTACAGCTCACAAACCAACAAAATATACATACAAAACCTACAAGACCAACATGCTGCACTAACTGACAGGATATGTCTACAAGCCTCTACTGATGGATGTACTGTGATGGAACTGGACCCCGACCTACCCATAACATATATATACAATATGTACACAAAACCCTAGACCCAAAATCTCTGAAGGACACAGAGCTTATCGATCAGGCTTAACTCGGGCAACACTTACTGAGGAGGTCTACCTATCTATCTATCTAAACTTGCACGTATGAAATGCAACGTCCCCAAAAAAGGGACGTCAGTATGAAATAATGTACCGAGTATATAAGGCAATAAAATAACTAAAAGCTAAAACTGAACTGATAATATAATAACTAAAAGTAGCTGGGAGTCAAAGATGATCTAGAGATATACTTACCAGCTAATACTGATACAACTCCTTCAATATAGTAAGTAAAATAAATGTCCGGCCCTATAAGGCTCAGTACGAGTAACTGCTCGGTCGTAGTAGGCTCGCTCATAGGCGCTCGGCCATAGTAGGCTATGTATCTCGGCCATCCCAGGCTCGCTCACAGGCGCTCGGCCACAGTAGGCTCGGTATATAACTTACCATCTGATCTGAGGTTGCCCAATAGGGGCCTGCCCACCGATTATAGCTCGATGGCGGTGAAAATAATTTAATACTGCAAATATACAGACCCTCTGCTCTCTTGAATGGAAGAGGACAATACGAAATTGAATATAAAGTCCCAATAAGGGAGAATACAGTAACTTATGAGACTAGAATAATGTATATAAATTCGGGAGTATGAACTTCTCTTTATGCCTCGTTATCAAACACATGTAGTTACGAGATCATGCCAAAATGAAGGAAGGGCTTAGCCTTAACATACCTTATCATAATCTTTCCAATCACCAAGTTGAACTCGCCTCTTCGTACCTTAATATACAACAGCGATAATAATACTATCATTAAGTTACGAAAGGTACAACTATCGCACAACGAACGACAAGGTTATTTTGTATTAAAACAGGAAGCATCTCCCCTATAATCCTTACTTCCTCCAAATTTAAGATAACACCAACAACACAAGAACACAATGATAACAAGATATATACATTATTTTCCAACCGTATATACAACACAAAATACTACAAAACAGCCCAACACACCCCAATCTCTTCATACACAAAACGACCACCGTAGTAGTATCAAACAGCCTGAAAAGGTTACGACGAACGACCAGCCCACCACCCTGACTTTATGTGGTGTTTCTCCACACCCTTCCTCCTTCAAAACTCCACAAAATAGTAGTAAAACACACAGCCCAACAGCAACACAAAACAATCTAC